AAAATATTTTTTAACCCTCACCCAAATAGATATGTATATATATTTACTTATTATTGATTTTTAGAGAGAGAGGGAGAGAGAAACATCAGTCAGTTCCCTCCACCCTGACCAGGGATGGAACCTGTAACCTTTATTTTTTTTAAGATATATTTTATTGATTTTTTTACAGAGAGGAAGGGAAAGGGAGAGAGAACTAGAAACATCGATGAGAGAGAAACATCAATCAGCTGCCTCCTGCACACTCTCCACTGGGGATGTGCCCGCAACCAGGGTACATGCCCTTGTCCAGAATCGAACCTGGGATCCTTCAGTCTGCATGCGGCTCTATCCACTGAGCCAAACAGGTTAGGGTGGAACCTGTAACCTTTTGATGGAACCAACCATCTGAGCCACACCAGCCAGGGCAAGTTTTTTTTATAAATATTTTTTTTGTTGATTTCAGAGAGGAAGGGAGAGGGAGAGAGAGATAGAAACATCAATGATGAGAGAGAATCATTGATCGGCTGTCTCCTGCCTGCCTCACACTGGGGATCGAGCCCACAACCCAGGCATGTGCCCTGACTGGGAATCGAACTGTTACCTCCTGGTTCATAAGTTGACGCTGAGCCAAGCCTGCTGGGCTAGGGCAAGTTTTGATGATTACATAGGAGTATACAAAATTCATTAAATGAAACAGTTAAGATCTATACATTTTATTGTGTAAAGAAGGGAGAAATTAAGAAATGGAGAAGGGACCTACCAATTAAAAGAAACTTACCTAATTGCAAGGTATAAATTATGATTCAAACAATCAAACTAAAAAATATGAGAAAATTGGAAATTTGAACACTTATTGCTTATTTGATGAGATAAAGAACTTGCTGCATTTTAAAGACATGATTATATTTTAAAAATAAAACTTGGGAAATGGCAAAATTATAGAAATGGAGAACAGATTAGGGCAGGGGTGGGCAAACTTTTTGACTCAAGGGCCACAATGGGTTCTTAAACTGGACCGGAGAGCCGGAACAAAAGCATGGATGGAGTGTTTGTGTGAACTAATATAAATTCAAAGTAAACATCATTACATAAAAGGGTACGGTCTTTTTTTTTTTTTTTAGTTTTATTCATTTCAAACTGGCCGGATCCGGCCCGCGGGCCATAGTTTGCCCACGGCTGGATTAGGGGTTCCCAAGTTCTAAGAAGGAGGTGAGGTAGGAGGGATGTGGGCAGGTGTAGGTAAAAAAAAGCAACACCAGGGACCCCTTGTGGTGGAAATGTTCTGTATATTGATTAAGTTGTCAATATCCTAGTTGTGATATTGCATAGAATTGTGTACAGTTTTGCAATATATTAACATGGAGGGAAGTAAGTAAAGGGTCCATAGGATTTCTCTGTATTATTTCTTACAAGTGCATGTGAATCTATATTTCAAAATAAAAGGCTTATCCTATCTAATAAAAGAGTAATATGCAAATTGACCATCACTCCAACACACAAGATGGCCACCCCCATGTGTTCACAAGATGGCTGCCACAAGATGGTCGGCAGGGGAGGGCAGTTGGGCGGGACCAGGCCTGAAAGGGAGGGCAGTTAGGGGTGACTGGGCGGCAGAGTAGGGCAGTTGGAGGTGACCAGGCCTACAGGGGAGGGCAGTTAGGGGCAATCGGGCTGGCAGGGGAGCAGTTAGGCATCGAACAGGCTGGCAGGGAGTGGTTAGGGGGTGATCAGGCTGGCAGGCACAAGCAGTTAGGGGCAATCAGGCAAGTAGGCAGGCAAGCGGTTGGGAGCCAGCAGTCCTGGATTATGAGAGGGATGTCCCAGATTGGAGAGGGTGGAGGCTGGGCTGAGGGACACACACCCCATGCACGAATTTTGTGCACCGGGCCTCTAATCTTATATAATAAAAGGCTAATATGCAAATCGACTGAACAGCGGAATGACCAGTTGCTATCATGTGCACTGACCATCAGGGGGCAGATGCTCAACGCAGGAGCTGCCCCCTGGTAGTCAGTGTGCTTCCACAGGCGGAGCGCTGCTCAGCCAGAAGCCAGGCTCAGGGCTGGCAAGCACAGCTCCCACCTCTGCGGCAGCGCTAAGGATGTTCAACTGCCGGCTTAGGCCTGCTTCTTGTGGGGAGTGGGCCTAAGATGGCAGTTGGACATCCCCCGAGGGCTCCTGGACTGTGAGAGGGCACAGGCCAGGTTGAGGGACCCTCCCCTCCCAAGTGCATGAATCTCGTGCACCAGGCCTCTAGTTTAAAAATAAAATAAAAATGGAAAATTGTAAAGTTTAGTCAGTCAAAATAAACAAAATAAAAAATAAGATATTCATCAGAGCACAGAGGATTTTTAGAGCTATGAAACTACTCTGTATATTGTAATGGTGGGTACATGTCAAATTTGTTCAAAGCTCCTTGAGGGCATTATGTTAAGTGAAATAACTCAGACACAGAAAGACAAATATTGTATGATCTCACTCAAATTTGGAATCTAAAAAGACCAAAGTAATAGAAATAAAGAGTAGAATGTGATTGCCAGGGGATGGGGATGGGCGAAATGAAGAGATGTTTGTCAAAGGGTATAAACTCCCAGTTGTAAGATGAAAATATTTTGGGGATCTAATGTACTGCATGCTGGCTATAATGAACAATAACATAGTACATACTTCAAAGTTATTAAGAGAGTAGATCATAAATGTTATCATCATAGATGCAAAAAAGATAATAATTATGTGAGATGATGGAGGTGTTAAAAATTAACCTTATTGTGGTAATCATTTCACAATATGTACATGTACCAAATCTTCACATGGTATACCTTAGACTTACATGTTATATGTCAATAATATCTTAATAAGTCTAGGGGAAAATTAAAAACAGAAATAAATCAATTTGTCCAAATCCATTGAATATGCAACAAAAAAGAATGAATCCTAATGTCAAGTATGTACTCTGGGTGATAATGATGTGACAATGTAGGTCCACCAGTTGTAACAAATATACCTCTCTGGTGGGGAATGGCGAGAATGGGGGAGGCTATGTATGTATGGAGGCATGGACTATATGGGAAATCTCTATTTTTGCTCAATTTTGCTGAGAACCTAAATCTGCTCTAAAAAATAGAGTTATCTATATATATATAAAAGGCTAAGGGACCAACCGTCCATCTGACCACCCGACCAACTGACCTGCCAGTACATATGATGCGCACTGGCAATTTAAAAATAAATGTTGACTTGTGCATGTGTGATACATATAAAGCTCTTGCTGGCACCAATCACACGTGTGTGTTTTGATCTGTCAATGTCGCTCGTGAATTTGGTTGTTTTTGTTGACATTCAGTGTGAACCACATCGAGATTTATTCATCAACAGTCCGATCTACTGACCAGCTGGTACATATGGCAAGCACTGGCAATTTAAAAACGAACATTGACTCGTGCTTGCACAATACATATAAAGTTCTCGCTGGTGCCAATTGCATGTGTGTTTTAATTTCATAATACTATATTATATATACTACTTTGACATGTAATTTTTTGCAATAATGTAATTACTGCACGAATCTTTCTTCTAATTAATTTCCTTCCAATGTGCATGAATCTCTGCACTGGGCCACAAGTATAAAAAATAAAATATAAAATAAAAATGGTTGGTACACATTGGAAAATATACTCAGTTTTTAAAAGTAGAAAGCACAGTCCCAGCCAGTGTTGCTCAGTGGTTAGAGCATTGACCTGCACACTGAAGGGTAGCGTATTTGATTCCTGGTCAAGGACACATACCTGGATTGCAGGTTTGATCCCCGGCCCTGGTTGGGGCATGTGCAGGAGGCAACCAGCCATTGTGTCTCTTTCGCATCAATGTTTCTCTGTCTCTTTCTCTCCTCCTCCCTACCTCTCTTTTCCACTCTCCCTATTAAAAAAAAAAAAAAAATCAATCAATGGAAAATGTCCTTGAGTGAGGATTAACTAAAAAATAAAAATAAAACTAGTAAGGATAATGCAAAATAAAAATAGGAGACATAATTTTCTGTGTATTAGATTGGTAAAAATAAATGAATTGACAAAACCCCATATCGGGAAGGGGGTGGGAGATGGGCAGGCAACGTAAGCTTTCTAAAGGAAGTTGGGCAATGTGTATAAAATTTTAATAAGCCCATCCAGTGTTCCAGTAATTCTGCTTCTAGAACATTCTCCTAGGAAAATGCACTGTACATATATATATATATATATATATATGAAAGTTCATCATAGAATTGTTTTGAAGAGCAAATATTATAAACAATTGAAATGTATGTAATTAGATCAATTATAAGATACACATGCAATGCAATCATGCAGTAATTCAAAATGATAAAATAGATCTGTATTATTGACATAAAAATATATTCTCTAGACACTGTTAAAATATTTTTAAAAGTGCCCCCCTCTCTCTTAGAGATCCTGGTTTATTTGGTTCTTAGTCCCCCTGGAACTAACATTCCCCTTTTCTAATCCAGCTATCTCCCACCACCAGGTTAGGCAAGGAATCTGTGTAGGGCAGACACAAATGACCTCCTTTTTAGGGTGATCACAGTCTAGTTTCTGGAATGGTTTTGAATACAAATGTTTTGACCTACTGTCCCATACAGTCAGGACACTCCTAATTTTAATGCCTGTTTTATAGCTGTGGAAACTGAGACTCATGATGTTGAACATTTTGCCTAAGGTCTGTCTAGGAGGTTCTTGCTGAATGAAAGGAGACCTGCTATGTGCCCTCTCAAAACGTGATGGAGGTTGCCAGGAGCGGAGGGTTAAAGGGGTGTGGAAACGAGAGCTGAAGAAGGAGTCAAGGTGGAAGAGGCCGTGAGGCCAGGTTTTGGGGAGAGGGGAGTGGCACAGAGAAGGTAAGGCAGGCTGTCACCCAAGACCCTCAGCCCCTCCTGCCACAAAGTCCTGTCTCTGCAGACACATTTCTTCAATAATGCCTATCAGAAGTGGGCCTTCAGCAAATGATGAATGAATGAATAAACGAATGAATAAAAAGAAACGTAGAGTTTATTATTGTATTGGAAGTACAAAACCAGAATCAAACCCTTCTCAGACCTCGGTGGTCCCAGGTCTCTGTACGTCACCCCACATTCACCAAATATGTGAGTCTCCTCAAATCTGGACAGCCATGGGATGGGGGAGGGGGGCCCTGTGCCCAGTCTATGGGGATGGGGGCTCAAGAGCCACCACCATCCTGGGTCTATGTTCAGCTGTTTACAGGCCCACAGATCTGAGTCTCCAGAATTCCCTGGTGGGGTCATGCCTGCAAGGCCCCCTTGCCTCGGAGCTAGGTCTTGGAGTGCAGAGAGATGAGCCCTGGTCCCAGGCTGTGCAGGCAGAGAAGAACTTGCTGGTGTCATCAGGACAGTGAGGGTGCCTCTAGATATGGCAGGACCAGGATCGAGGTGTCACCAGCCCCCAGAAAGTTGTCTGTGCCAGAGAAAGGTGAGTTGTCAATGAGGTCCCTCCTCCCAGTGCACCCAAGACATGGGAGCCCATCACCCCCAAATCAGGCCTTGACCCCTGATCATACCTGTTGAATTGGGCAAAAATAGGGGGTTAGCTATTGGGAAGGAGAGGCATGTACACCTGAACGGGGAGCTAGGTATCATGGTTCCTTACCTGGGCCAGGGGGCAGTGCCGCCGTGCATACCACTCCTGGCAGTACAGGCTGACCTGGATGCCCTGGCCCAGAAAGAGCATGGTCCACATTAGCACGTTCCATGCTGGGCCCGTGTGCCGGTCATGCATCATGAAGTTCATCGGTCCTGAGGCAGGAGAAAAGATTGTCACGCCAGCTCCAGATACCTGTGCCTTGTGTCCCTGGCTGCTCTCCCATCCCAGGGCACTGGGGAGAGATGGAACGGGAAGATTCCATTGGGAAAGATCTTGAACTCAGCTCCAGAAACCCATGGAGGTCTCAAGTGGCTCGTGTAAAACCAGGATTCCTCAGTTTACCCTTCAGTGTCCTGGCTCTCATACTGAACCTCCTAACCTCCACCAGTTTTCTCTCCTTTGTCTCCCTCTCTGTGTGTCCTGCTCAGATGCCCCTCTCCAGTCAGAAATCTTCTTCCACATTCCCCAGGATACCCCCTTGTTGCCATCAGATGCTGCCTTCATCCCTGCTCCCAAGTCTCTCCTCACGCCAACTCTCACACACAACTCTCATGCCCTCTCCCATGAGGTGTGCATATCCCCTTCTGTCTTGGGTGTGTGGCCTTCCCCATCAGTCTGGACTCTCCAGGGTCCGGAGCACAAGCCTCCTCCCTCTGGATGAATTCCCCTCCAGTGGCACACAGAAGCAAGCTCACCTCCAATGACAAGGAAGAGTATCATCATGACAGGGTAGAAGAAGCCCAAGACAAAGCAGAAGATATACTCATGGACGACTGAAGAGACCAGGAACACGCCCAGCATGGCTGCCCGTCGGGCCTGGCCACCAAGGAGCTGTCAGGGATAGGGGGAGGAATGTGGAGTGATTCTCCTTAGGATCCCACCACAAAAAGCACCCTCCCCCCTCCCACCTCTCCCCCTGTTTAAGAAAGCCAGGAGGGTATGTGGTGCAATGGAAAGAATATGGGATTTGGGGTCAGAGGGGCTGACATGTCTTATTTAAGGGTATTTTATTAACCCATTTGGGCCTTAGATGCGATTTTTAAAAGGGGATGATATAATAATACTTCTCAGGGTTGTTGTGCAGATTAAATGTATGTAACAACTCTTGGTAACTGAAAATTGATATATGCATGTTCCTTAGGAGGGCAGAAAGGCTCTGTGGAGGGGGTGGAATTAAGGAGAAGGAAGGAAGGAAGGAAGGAAGGAAGGAAGGAAGGAAGGAAGGAAGGAAGGAAGGAAGGAAGGGAGGGAGGAAGGAAGTTGGATCTCAATATGAAATTTCTGTCCATTGGATTGGGTATAATGGGGCAGGTGGAAGTCAAGGGACCCTTAGGTTGGATGGTGCAGCGGGAGGAAAAGAGAGGATGGTCCAGAGAGGCTCCATTAAGTGTGGGGGCTGAAGGGTCTGCAGAGTCCGTACCCACAGCCCATCTTGATACACATAGCTGTACAGCCAGTCGTGGACCACCACATTCCAAGTGCGGTAGTAGTTGGAGAAGGACGTGGAGTTCCACCAGTCCTGAGGAAGGGGAAGGGGAAGGGGAAGGGGAAGGGGAAGGGGAAGGGGAGGGGTCAGAGTGAGAGAAGGAGGTAAGCATCAGGGTCCTGTTTCTTCCCAGGCCCTAGCTTCTCAGCTTCTCACTCCTCCCCTGTCCCCTATCCCAATGTCCTTCCACAAGAGCTGACCCCAGGCAAAACAGAGACAGCAGCACTCTCCCAGCTCCCTCTTCAGGACCTGGGGCCCTGCCTTCCCTGGTACTCTCCCTGTTTCTGGAACTCCCCTCCATCCACACAAAAGCAGTTAGCCCTGGCTAGTTGGGAGGTGGAAGGTTGGTATTTAACCACACCCAGAGGGCACATTTCTCATTGTGGGAGATTGCGGGCGAGGTGACACCCAACATTGCCACCATCCTCCCCAGATCTCTCCCTATCTCTCCCTGCCTCTAGCTCCCAAGGGGTCCAGGTCCAGGCTATACCCGGTAGAACATCCTGTCTCCAAATCGTAGCATCTCTGCAAAGGCGTTGAGCCAGCAGTGGAGGAAGGCAAAGAAGATGAGCAGCAGCATGAAGATGCCTGGTGAGTGGGGACAAGGGGCTGCAGGTTAGACTGGCCCACGTGGAACCCCCAGGAAGCTCTGAGGAGCCCTTGCATAGCAACTAGGGCTTCAATCCTACCCATCATTTATTAGTCATTTACTAATTCATGCATTTATTAATTCATCCATTTGTTCATCCATATCAGAGATTGATATCAGAGATTGGGGATATGAGATAATTCTTAAAACCCCTGGCCATTGAGAGTGATGGGGGGGAGGGAGACGAGAGAGAGAGAGAGAGAAGAAGAAGAAGAAGAAGAAGAAGGAGAAGAAGAAGAAGAAGAAGAAGAAGAAGAAGAAGAAGAAGAAGAAGAAGAAGAAGAAGAAAAAGAAGAAGAAGGAGGTGGAGGAGGAGGAGGAGAAGAAGAAGAGAGACAGAGACAGAGAGACATGTTCAACCACACATCGAGGTCAAATGTATCGGGAGTTAAGCATGGTGGCCATTGATGTGCTTGGGAGTGCAAAGCACAGGGAAAGTCATGGTAATTGATGCTTAAAAAAGGGAAGGCTTCCTCCAGAGGGCCTCTCACATGGGCCTTCAAGAAGGAACTGGATTTCAGAACTGGAAAGTAGTGAAAGGGCATGCCAAGCTGAGGAACTAGTAGAAGCAAAGGCTTGGAGTCATGAAAGTAAATGGCTGGGGTTATGGTGGAATACGATGCACAGGAAGGGCCTTGAATGCCGGGCCAAGGTTCAACTCTTATCTGCAGAAGCCAACAATGAGGTGTCACTGGAGCTTTTGAAGCAGGATCAGAAATGACTACTCTGTAGGACGGAAGTTCATCTGGGCAGCAGTGTCCTCAGGGACAGATGGGAGAGGAAAGATTCAGGTGGGAGGGGCACAGGTTGGGAGGCTGATGTGGAAAGGGGGAGTAGATGCTCATCTGAACTGAGACCCTGACAATGAATAGTGATAGGAGGGGACAGAAGTGAAGGGAGATTCAGAAGGAGGTGTTGAAACTGGCAGAAGGTAAAGAGCAAGGGGAGTGAGGAATTCCCGGCTAAGCTTTCCCAGGACACAGCCTTCTGCAGTCCTGCTTTAGTGGGCATACCTGGCAAGGTGGCGTGCATGACGGAGAGCACCAGGGCGCGGGTGCTGAAGGGCTCCCGGCTCATGTTAGCAAAGACAGGAACACAGAGGCGGCCCATGATGAAACAGGCATAGAGGAGGCAGCCCAGGGCCTGAAGAGGGAGTGGTAGGTACCTACATTTGAGGGGCGGGGCACTGGTAGCTGCCCCCTCACCCTAGAATTGGACTCTGGCCCAGCATCTTCCTTCTCTTCCCTCTGACCTCCTCCCCAGGCTTTCTCCACCCCCCGCCCCAGAAATATCCCCTCAGCTCCCATGAGTTACAGGTGGTCCACCCTTCTACCCCATCTTCTGACCTGGGCAAAGTTCTTGGCCACATAATTCCACCTGATGTTGGGTGTCCTGCAGAAGCAATGGGGATTATATGTTTCTTGTTCCCTGGTCAGACCGGGACCCAGGTTCTGGGGCCCTCTCTCCTCAGCCCCTCAATTGCTCAGGGAGGTGGGGGACTAGAACAGCTTGCACCTTCCATAGCAGAGGTGGCAAATGGACTTTTAGCCTGCGTGTCAATCAAGATGACCAACCATCTGGGGTTTGCTGTGGATCGAGGGACTTCCCAGGACCTAGGATTTTCAGTGCTAAAACAGGGACAATCCTGGGCAAACCAGGACAGTTGATAACCCTCGTGTCACCATGGGCTGGGCGAGGAGAAGGGGTAGTCTACCTGCCACTTCTTTCTCATCTCTGTGATGGGGCTGCTTCCTGAGGAAGTATCCAGGGGAGGTCAGGGACTTCAGGGAGAGGGGAGGAGGAGGGCAAGGTCCCTGATGGGCCTAGGCATTTGGGAAAGGGTGCAGGGTCTTACCTGGGGTAAGTCTCCCTGTAGATAAGTGTGGGGCAGAAGAGGAAGTAGAGGTAGCTGGAGAAGCTGGGGGCCCGGACCCCCTCACCTGGGGAGGAGTGAGAAGGGTCCGTCAGTGAAGGGGAAAGGGAGAGAGGGCAGAGGTGTGGGAGGGTGGGACTAGGGTATGGAGAGCTGGCTAGGACAGAGGTGCAGGGGCTGGGTGAGGGGCTGGAATTGGGTCTAGGATGGGGTGGGGGAGGTGAAGCTGGGCAGGAGCTGAACCCCTCTTTTACTTCCATTCCAGGCACCCTATTTTCTGGCGCAGGACCTGCTCTGGCTGAAGCTTTATTTGGCACCAAGAAGTTCCACTATCCATTCGCCCTCTCTCTCAGGCTGGGCCTGGAAATGGGAAAGCACCAGGAGTTCTGGGCAACCGAGGTGCCATCTCTCAGAGTGGGACCTGAGAATGCCGAATGGCTCAGGCCCACAGAGCCCAGCTGGAGGTCAGAGCTGTGCCCAGTGGGCAAGCTGGGCTTAGGAAGTCAGAGCTTCTATGAGGGTCCTGCCGCTGCTGGCTTTATCCAATCAGCCAAGAGGACAGAGCTCACCTCCTCTGGCACGAAGGATACCAGGCACAGCCTCTCTTAGGAAGGAGTAGCTCTTCATCAGGAGTCTGACCTGAGGTGGAGTGGAAGGGAGGTTACATTGGTGCGTGGCTTTAAGCATATCACAATCTCTGTGGGGGGCGGGGGGGGAGAGAGAGAGAGAGAGAGAGAGAGAGAGAGAGAGAGAGAGAGAGAGAGAGAGAGAGAGAGAGAGGCACTTCGTAAAATCTGTGTGTTCGGAGCACATACTTTATCCTTTTGTCGGATTTCCTTATTGCTGGGATGACTCGAGGGTAAGGAAGGGGGCACGGAAAAGGCAAGGACAGAGCTTTCGTTGACCAACCCCAGTGACTCCATGAGGAGTTGGACTGTGTTTGCTTAGTCCGGTCCATTTCTTTGGAGCCTGCTGGGCCACTCAAATCCCTCGCGACAAACTCCGCCCCTAGTAACTAGCTCCACCCCATGTAAGGAGCAGTGCCTTCCCTCACCACCCGGCCTCCACCGCCCTTTGGGGCTCCCCGCCTCCCCTCCCTCCCCGCCTCAACACCTGCTCAAAGACCAGGACGCAGCTGGAGGCTGGCGGGAGCTGATGCTTCACAGCCACGTGGACCGGGAGTATGCCCAGCACTGCGGTGTGAGCGGCCAGCAGCACGCAGCCCAGGCCCGCCCCCAGCGTCCAGGCGCCGCTAGCCTGGGGCCTGGCCCACAGCCGGAGGGCCTGGTAGGGCGCCAGCAGAGTGGACAGGAACATGGGGGCCCATGTCATCAGAGCCAAGGGCAGCTGTCCGAAGCTGAAGATCAATAAGTCGAACTCCAACATCAGCCTTGGGGTGGGGAAGGAGAGACAAATTAGACAACTGTGTAGCCCATTCTTTCCCCTCCCTCTGCAGCCAGAGCTCTTGGAAGATAAACTGAGGTATCTTGCAAAGCTTGTGAGCTCCTCATCTCTGAAAGTGTTCAAGGTGGCACCTTGCTGCCCAGGACTTCTAGTGCAGGGCGTTGCCTGAGGAGACAGTTGGGAAATGAGTTTGCTTCCAAACTGCTGTTAGAGCCGCTGTGGGTATTACGGTGTTGCAGAAGAGCTCGTGTTTTGCACGCTAACTAGGACAGGAGGTATTTAGTGTTTAACTTTGCTTCGTTCTTTGCAGTGCAGGTTGTTGAGTGTTTTGTTTGCTTAGATTGAGTATACAGTTTTAACGATGAAAAACTGAAACAACCTACGTGTCCGTTAGGAAAGGACTAAATGAACAAAGCCAGGCATCTTCAGACTCTGTAGTCATTAAAAACAATGGATTGACATGGAAAGAGCTCTAAACCAGGTTGCTAAGGAGTGAAAGCAAAACAATAGATATAGTGTCTTATTTATGTAAACCCTTACGAAGTACATACACATACTAGAAGCCCGGTACATGAAAATTCGTACACTGGGTGTGGGGGGTGTCCCTCAGCCCGGCCTGCACCCTCTCACAATCCAGGACCCCTCAGGTAGGGTCCCTAGGCCTGGCCTGAGATCAGGGCTTATTGGGGCTTTCCTTCCCCAGGCTGCAGGCAGCTGGCCCCACCCCTGCTGCTGCCACTGCTTGCCATCTGTGCAGCACTGCCTCCCCCCCCCCCCCCCCCCCCCGCCACCAGCAGCCTCCCTCTGCAGGCGACAGGCGTGGGGTGCGATGGCTTGGCTGGCCTGGGCCTCCTTCTGCAGGGCAATCACTGGCCGGCTGCACACCTGCCACAGAGTTGCTGCCACCACCACCGGTGGCCTGGGCCTCCCTCTTTCTTTGCTGGGGGGCGGGACCAGCCCTGTGAGGGGCCATCTGCCTACCTGATAGCCCCTAACCGCTTGCCTGCCTACCTGATCACCCCTAACCACTTGCCTGCCTACCTGATCACCCCTAACCACTCTGCCTGCCTGCCTGCCTGCCTGATCACCCCTAACCGCTTGTTTGGCGTTGGGGAGCCCCGCGAGGGGCTGTGGTGGTTCTGGTCTCTGGTTGTCCCGGTCATTACGCTTATGGTGGCTGGCCTTTTATTATATAGGATGGGTGGAAACCACTCTGGAGGGAAACTCTCAAAACTGTTGAAAATGTTACTTCTGGGAAGCAGTCTGGGATTGAGGGGGGTTGTCAAGAAGGACTGTAACTTTACAAGTATTTGAATTTTTTACTGAGATTTGATCCTTAAAATATTCATAATTAGCAACAATTTACCAAAAGGAAGTGCTGCTGCTGAACTTGCAGATCCTTGGTCCTCTTCCTTTTACTGCTTCCTAAGCCCTACTTAGTGGGGAGAGGCGGGGAGAGCCTGCAAATACAGACCCCAGGGGTGTACAGTCTTCTGAAGCTCATTCCCCAGAGTGTGTGTCCGGGTGGTCTCTGGGGGAAACAACCCACCAAGGCACTTGTGTGGCTGTCTGCCTTCCCCACAAGATTGGGAGTGCCTCATAGACAGGGATGGGGTCTGCCCCCAGGGCCGGTCCTTGGAAGATGCTCACAGGAGGTTACTTGAACTGAACAGCACTGACTTGGAAAGGAGAGGGGAGGGGAAGTATGTATGTGTGCACACACATATGTATATCTGCCTCCAGACAAGGCTCCTATTGAGAAGTATATGAGTGGCTGTCCCCAGAATGGCTGATCCTGGGAGGACAGACTGGGGGCCATCCAAGGCTGTGAAAGGAAGAAGCTAAGAGTGTGTTTTAGGTGGGAATATTGTTGGAAGCAACAACGATGTGTATGCAATAATCAAAGGGGAACCTGTGCCCTCTCTGGCCAATAGTTGGTGGATCCTCGGGGACCCACGGGGTCTGATCTGATCTACGTGCCTGTCCCAGGCAGGAGAGGGGCCTACCTGCCCTCGTCAATGAAGTCGATGGCCAGGGTGCTGATAATGAAGACACACAGGCCGGCGATGAACATGTGGTAGATGGTCCGGAAGTGCTGCACCTCCATCAGTTCACTGGAGGGAGAGGGCCCTGGATGTCAGTGCGGAAGGGTCCTCAAGGTCATGTGGACTGGCTCAGGCGCCGTACACATGTGAGGATGGAGCCTACTGATTGGAAAGTCTGAGGGCTGGGGTGTGACTGGGACATCTGCCCAAAGCCCTTTCTTGCCCAGACACCACGTATCCTGGTGGCCTTTCTTCCACACTTCCACACAGGGCAAGTGGGGGAACTGAACCTTAAAACCCTTTCCAGGTCCTCTCCCAAACCATCTAGAGCCTGGGGATGAGAACTGAGGTGGACCCCTAACCAAAGCACTTCCTTTTCCTCCCACCCTTTCCTCTCCCTTAACTTACTCAAGCAGGGACTTGCGGTTGATAAAAACTTTCCGTTTCTTCAGGGATGGCTCCTGGGTTCTGAATTGAGAGAGTTGTTTTGGGTCAGGACCCAAAGGAAGAAGGCAGTGGGCAGAGGGCCTTGCAGAAGATCAATACTTGGGAGCCAAGAGTAATAGTAGCAGAAGGTCAAGGCTAGGGCCAGAGGGCAGGATCAGGCAGAAGGTCAGGGCCAGGGCAGAGCATGGCTGCAGGTGGAGGTCAGAGCCAGGAAGGCAGAGGCAATAAAAGGAGAAGAAGGAAGGTTGAAGTGAGGGTCACGCCAGCGCTGGCAAAGGGCGCATGAGGTGATGTTTATGGCTTACAATCTTACAATGGTGGAGCCTGCTCCAGCCATTCATCAGCCCCTGGCTCCTCAGACTCTTACTTGTTCGGGGAATCTGGAGGAATAGTGGGCAGAGGTCTGCCTTGTGGTGGGTAGGATTGTACGGCCTCTGACATGGCGCGATCCAGCAGCTCCAGCAGCTGTCTCTGTGCTTGCTCCAGCAGCTGCGCCTTCACAGCCTACGGGACAAAGCAGGGCCCACTGTCCCTCCAACCGGTTTGCCATCCTCTCATTCACTCAACATTTACTGAGCTCTCTATGCTCACAAGTGCTAAGGAGAGAAGACACGGTTCCTGCCCACAAGTTCCCCAATAATTTCTCTCCCTTGGGCTTCCCAGGGCCGCAGTGATGATCAAGGAGAAATAGCAGTAGTGACATTTCCAGTTCCAACTGCCTTGTCATCTCTGACTTGACTCTCTTCTCCCTGACCCCAGCCTTCCCTCTCCTGACCTCTAGCCCCAATAACAGAAGACTGTTCACTGGCTGACTTTTAGCTCCTGCCCTGATGACCTGTGTTTCAAACCCCTTCACCTTAACCCTTAGCTCTTACCTGATCTGAGGGGTTTGAACCCAAGATCAAATTGTCTTTATCACCAAACTGGTCCTCTCCCCTACTGCCCTCCACTTTAAGACCTGCTCATCTTGACCTCTGACCTCTGAAGTCCCTCACCTCCATATGTTGAGTCCATTGCACCAAGTCAGGGCCTCCAAGCGCCTCAGGATTTCCTAAAAGGAGGGGTCAAAGGGCACACCCAAAGGGGAGGGGTTAGGGTTCTGCTGCCTGGGGTGAGCCCAGAGGCATCCTCTGCCAGGAAGTGCTTTCTGTGTGCTCAGCAGCCGCCCAGCCCCGCAACCAGAAGATATCTAGCATCATGGGTGCGGCAGTCAGAAGAGGAAGTTATTTTGTCAGGGGGTGAGGAGGCCATTGGTAAGCAGGGAGCCTGATGACTTTACTGGAAACAGGCTTCTCAGGGAACAGGAAGTCTCTCTGTTTACCCTCTGAGGTTGGAGAGTCAGAAAGATGAGGCAATGCCACAGCTCTGAATGCCCCTTTTCTGTTTCCGTCTTCCAGCTGGGTGGTTAGGGGCAGAGGCCGGAGTCTGCCTTCCCAGGACAGCTGGAGGGGTTCCAGGTAGAGAGGAGGAGCCCCCTCTCAACAGGGTATCCCCACTTCCAGCCCCACCTGAGCTTTCTCACTCCCAGAGGGTGGCTCACCTCCTCCGGAGGGTCTTTCCTCCTGCTCTCTTCTCGACCCAGCTCTCCTCCGAGAGCGCGCTGCCTTTGGCTCCATGATGTCAGCCTTGTCTGGGCAGCAGGTGGCCTCTGCCATGTTCCTTCCTTCCCTTCACTGCCTGACAACCCGCTGAGCTCCCATCTCTCAGCTCAGCGACAGCTCCAAAGACGAAAGTCCTCTCAGGAGGGGGGCCTCCAGATGACAGGGTATCTGATCTGGAGGGCAGAGCTTCTCAGCTCCAGGCTCTGTGGGCTGTCGCAGGGATGGACTGGATGCAACCCCGCAACAGCCCAACCACCCGCCAGATGCCCAGCTCTGAGCAAGTGTGCGCTCCCTCCCGCAGGAGTAGTGACTGTGCATGTGGTGGGAAGGGGGACTTTGCCTCTTTGAGGCTTATCACCTAGCATGGCTCACCTTCCAGCAGGCTGAAGGTCGGGGTGGAGTCAGAAACCTCTTCAGTTATCAGTACACTCAGCTCCCTTAGACCATGAGATAAGGTGTGTGAAAGGAGCTTGTCAACTTGAAAGCATTGTATGCCGGTGATTAATATTCTGATGGAGTTGACACCTGTGACAATTGTGGAGCTGTGGCCCCTCTAGGAAGTGCTAGGTGCCGTGTCCCTGAATGTCAGCTCTTCCCTACACTGGCTTGGGTTAGCAGGTAGGCAAAGTAGATACATATTTGGCACCTAAGGAATGCCAGGCATTGTCACATGCGGAAGAACTAGATATAAATCCTCCCTCCATCATTTCCTGGCTGTGTAATTTCAGGCTAGTGACCCAAATATTTTAAGCCACAGTTTCCTCCTCTGAAAAACAGGGGCAAAAGTCCCTTCCTCACAAAATTACTATAAGCACAAAAAGAGGGAATCCAGGTAAAAGCACATGGTCCAGGGCCCAGCCCATGAGGGGAGCTCAATAAATAATAATGTCATCTCCCTTTTATTTTAGTAGGATGCAGCAGAAGGGTAGGTACTTTGAGAGTTCCTCTTTGTTAGGTTCCTGCTGGGGATTAACTATTAATTCTTCCTCTCCCCTGTGTCCAAAGATCACTTAGAAACAAGATCACAACCTCATACCAAGGCTGCGAGCTCAGTGTCTCCCCACCTCTGTCTCCGCCCCCGACTCCCTGGTGGGTAGCTGGGTGAGGCTTCAGGGCTTGAAGCCTCTGCCAATGGCTGCCTCCTTCATTCCAAGAGCAGCGGGAAGGACCAAAGGTAGTCAGTCCACAGGAGAGGCGAAGGGCTATTGGAGGGCTGTAAAGGGGGGGGGAGAAGGGCCAGGGGCTCCAGAAATGTGAGAGGTGGACACAGAGACATAGACCAGAGCCCCCCAAAACAGCTTTATTGACACCCCAAGCCAACACCAACTTTTCCATGTATGATGTCTCAGGGATAAGGGGGAGAATGGGGCAGGGCCTGAAGGTGGAGTGTGGGATTGAGTTACTCATTACTCAACAAATGACCCAAGATGACAGCCCCAGGCTCCTGCCAGTGGCCCTGCAGGACCCCATCCAGCCTTAGCCACTGCTCCCTGCGGAGCAGGGGGAGCCGCCATTGCTGTCCGCGGATGCTGGCAGGGGCTGGCCCATCCGGTCCACGCACCAGCAGGGCCCTCGGCGCTGCCCCTGGGAGGAGCGGCACTGGGGAGAGAGGCATACAGATCGGAGGTGAGGCCAAGGCTCCAACAGGGGAGGTGGGAGGGGTCCTGTGGGTTGGGGATGGGCTGTGGACTCCTGAGCCTGAGTGTGCGGAAACAGCTAAGAGTTCTCAGGACCATGAGTCCTGCTGGGTTCCCTTCCCTTGCTTCTCTTCTTCTCCACCCACAAAATTGTGCCTGTTCTAGGCCAGAACAGCAGTTCTCAAAGTGTGGCTCCCAAACCAACAGCATCAGCATCACTTGGGACGGAGTTAGAGATGCAAATTCTCAGGCTCTGCTGGTGGGGCTCAGCCACCTGTGCATTCACAGCCCTCTAGGTGACCCTGCTGCGCTTCACACTTGTGTCCCTCTGAGTTAGGCATTCCTTGGGCAGTCTAACCCCTCTGCTATAGTGTGTGGTTGGTTATTCTGTTTGTGTGGGCTCTGAAGTTGGGAGATCCTTAAAGGCAGGGACAGTGTCTTATTTATGCAACATATAAGCCCCCCGCCCAGCCCTGGTAGGAGCCTTGTACTGATGGACCAAGGGGGAGAGAGGAGTGGCCTCACCTGCCGCTTCCGGTAGAAGCCCCGATGGTCACAATTAGGCACATAGAGAGTTTGAGACCCTCGGAAGATTTCGGTCTGGAGTTGCCGTAGCACTGAGTCCAGATGTTTGCGGCATGGGCCCTAGGAGAAGGGAGAGCAGGCAGCTTAGAACCAGCTGAGCTCCACGGCACAGTCCCTGGGCCCCACCAGCCAGGCTCCCAGGGTTAACCTGGAGACTTCTCTGAGCCCCAGGAAGCAGTCCCACATGGACGTCCTCAGGGGTCCCCACCCCCTCCTGCTCCCTGCCAGCCCCACACGCACCATCTCAGTGTCTTGGACACCCCCAGGATTGGGCCTGGCCGGAGTGGTAGAGGTCCCCAGGTTCCTTTGCTGGTCTCTGCGGTTCGTGTCCTGTTGGCGAGTGGTCCCCACTTGGGGTTTACTCTCCCTAGGATTCCCCCCTACGGCCAAAAGAAGATGGGGGAAGAAAAGGCCAGAAATCAGCCAGATGTCAAAGGCCGGCGCCACGTGGGAAAGAGCCTTGCTCACCCCCTACTCACGGAAGTGGGAGACAGAGAGGGGCTTTTGGAGCGGCAGAGGTGAAGGGGGGTTAGAATCTGGCTCCACCCTTACCTTCTCCTGGCCTCAGCTTCTTTCCCTGGCAAATGGTACTATCACATTTCCTGACAAGGCTTAGAAGGGAGGAACACTTTGGAAAGCAAAAATCATGAACAAATACAATAGTTTCCCCTTATCTGTGGTTTCGCTTTCTGGGGTTTAGTTACCTGTAGTCATCCATAGTCTGAACATATTAAATAAAAAATTCCAGAAATAAACAATTCATAAGTTTTAAATTATGAATAGTGTGATGAAATCTCTCGCCCTCTTGCTCCCTCCTGCCTGGGATGTGAATCAGGCAATTGTCCAGTGTCTCTACGCTGTATATGCTCCCCATTCATTAGTCACTAATTAGCCATTTCTGTTATCAGACCGACAGTCATGGTATCTCAGTCCTTGTGTTCAAAACCCTTATTTTATTTATTAATGGCCCTAAAGTGCAAGAGTAGTGATGCTGGCAGCTCAGATATGCCAAAGGAGCCAAAAAGTGCTGCCTTTAAGTGAAAAGATGAAAGTTCTCCACTTAATAAGGAAAGAATAAAAATCGTATGGTGGCCCAGCTGGGGGTGCTCAGTGGTTAAGTGTCAACCTATGACTAGGAGGTCACGGTTAGATTCCAGGTCAGGGCGCATGCCTGGGTTTTAGCTCAATCCCCAGTACAGGACATGCAGGAGGCAGCTGATCAATGATTCTTTCTCATCATTGATGTTTCTATCTCTTTCTCCTCCTCCCTTCCTCTCTGAAATCAATAAAAATTTTTTTTTTTAAATTGTATACTGAGGTTGCTAAGATCTACAATAAAACAAATCTTCTTTCCATGAAATTGTGCAGAAGGAATAAGAAATCCATGCTAGCCCGGCCAGTGTGGCTCAGTTGGTTGAGTATCATCCCACGCACTAAGAAGTCATCGGTTTAATTCCTAGTCAGGGCACATACCTGATTTGTGAGCTCAATCTCCAGTAGGGAGCGTGCAGGAGGCAGCCAATGGATGTTTCTCTCTCATCAGTGTTTCTATCTCTCTCCCTCTCCTTTCCTTTCTCTCTCTCTCAAAAAAAAAAAAAATGAAAACACATTAAAAACACACACAAAGTCATGCTAGTTTTGCTGTCACACCTCAAACTGGAAAAGTTATGGCCACACTAAGTGCTTAGTTAAGAGGGAGAAGATATTAAATTTGTCAGTAAAAGACATGAACAGAAAACGTGTTCCAACTGACGGCAATGTGTTGTGACAAATAACAGTGAGCCTATACGAAGACCTAAGCAAGGGATTCCCTGAAATGAGGGACATCAAGACATTTACTGCAAGTAAGAGATGGTTACACAGATTCAGGAATAAGTTTGGACTGAAAGAAAAAAAAAAAAATTATTGGAGAGGCCGCATCTGCTGGTGTAGATCTGCTGCCACATTTCTGGCAGAGCCGAAGGCGTTGATTAGGGTTTGGTATTAACCTCGGTTTCATTGGAACGTCTTCTCCAGCGGATAAGGGGGACTACTGTATATTGGGAGGCCTTGGGTTTGGGGTGAAAGACCTGGCTGTTCCACCAGAGGCCAGCAGGGGGTGGACTAAACCAGGGAGATGGGGCAGAAAAGCAATGGGAGAGGTCAGCAGCAACCAAGTGGAATGTGTGTCCCTGCTGTGACCCTGCTGTGACTCAGCCCACCGCTTCCAAGCCTGCGATGTGGTTACTTTTGGGACAGCAGGGGTCTCACCCTTCTGGTCCCCTGTGGCTCAGCCCAGCTCAACCCTAGTGGTCCCAGGAACACGTGAGATTCGTCAACCTAGACCGGCAGAGGGCAGGTTACAAAAGTGCGGGAATGAGGGGCTTCCAACCTGCAGGTCGCTTCTGGCTCTGGGGAAGTTTCACATTTGGTGTTTGCGGGGGGGGGGGGGGGGGGGGGGGGGGGGGGGGGGTTGGGTGGGGTGAGCTCAGGATGGAACAAGATGAAGAAATAAGTCAGGGCATCAGGATGAAGGAAAGGCAGGAAGGGGAGCATGAATTTCTTGGAATCCACCCAGCTGTAAAATGATTATGACCCCTGAAAAGACTATCTCTCCGTGTCCAAAGCAAGCTCTGCTTAAGTGCCCAGCCCCTAAGCATAGATAGAGCCCTCATCTGCTTACTACTTACAACTGGCGTCACTTCATCTGCAGTCCCAAATCTGATACTCCTTCCTCCACATTCCTCGGCCCTTGCCCCTCATTTCTTCCATTTTAACACCCTATCACGACTTTGCTCCTACTGCCTCCCCTGACCCACCCGTCTCAGGAGGACCTCTAGCAGCCTGGACGCATGCATCTGGGATTGAAACCAGCTCCACGTTACTTTTCCAGCCCTTCCCATGGAAGAAACCAGGAACTCGGGTGCCCCTGGGGTGGGGGACGTTTGTATTTCCTGCCCTCCCCATTTCCCTGCTGCCCCCCCCCCCCCATCTTTCAGGCTCTGACTCACTTCTGTTGTGCCCGCCCCCTGACTCAGCCTTCTATTCTCCACTCTGGAGTGGGGTGGCAGCTTTAAGCCATAACCCTGCTTTGATAGGTTCCTTCTTTCCCCACCTAGAGTCCCCACCGCCAGGACCCCAGCACCTACTCTCTGACCCCGTGATGGTCTGAAACAACTCTGGATAGAGGGCACCTTCTGTTCTTAGCCTCCTGTTCAGGTGCTTTGGACACCCCGATAGTGAAAGGAGAGGGGGGCTATTTCTCAGGGTGTGCAGGATTTGGGAGTCTGGTGTTCCAGTCCCTCTTTTTCCAAGTGGAAGCTGAGAACATCTGGGTCCCTTCTCCAACTTGGGGGTCTAGGACTGAAGGTATGGGCCACTATGGCCATAAACCCCTCAAGAGAAAGTGATAGAAGGGTCAGACCCCCCCCCCCCCCCCGGCCCCCCGGCTTCCAGCTGCCTCCCGCACTTCCCCCTTCCCCCTCTAACGTGTCCCCCAGGGTTGGGGTGGGGGGAGAAGCGTCAGGGGCAGGACCCAGAGGCTGGCAGGGCTGCCCGCGCCCACCTCCCCAGGACCCTGGCTGCGGAGAAGCGGGTCTCAATGGGCGGGGCGGGCGCTGACTCACCCGTGGGCGCGCGCGCCGGGCGGCAGCGGCCCCTGCCCATCAGCAGCGCCCGCAGAGGAGCCTGGTCTTCCTCCGGCGGCTGACACTGCAGTCCTGGGGCGCAGTTAGGGGTGTAGACCCCGCACTGCTGCCCCTCCCTCCTGAGGCAGCCCCCAGCCTCCGCACATCCCTCTGCGGGCTGCCCCGCACCCTCCTCTGCCGCGCAGCCCCCTGGACAGCCCGCCTGCGCCCCCTGCCCGCAGCCTGGGCACCGTGCCAAGGCGCCTCCCGGGCGGGCAGCGAGCAGCAGCGTTAGCAGCAGTGGCGGCAGCAGCCTGTGCGGGGTCATGGTCAGGGTTTTTGCCCCGTTCTCTCCTCCCAGAGCAGTCGTAGCGCAGCTG